CTCCTCCTCCTCCTCCTCCTCCTCCTCCTCTTAGTTCACATCTTGCTGCATTAGTTACTGCCTCATCGCATGAAAAATGGATATATTTGGGACCTATCAAATGTTCGAGTTCCATATGCAAGTTGTGTGACTTCCCTAGGTTGGACTATTAAATATATAACATGAAAACTTTGAACTAGACCATCTTTCAGCCCCCTCTTCCTTTTTTTTTTTTATAATGTCTAAATTCCATGATCCACTACCTGCCTCTTTCTACGCTCCAGTTTTTAAATCTGCTGTCCATCCCTAAAGGAAGAGCATTTAGTGTTGAGGGTTCAAGTCTTTTTCATGGTTTGAAAAATTGGTAATTTCATAAAACTCTGATTTTTTTTTCTCCTTTTAATAACAGCAGAAGCCAAGCAGCAAACCTTGAAGAGATGCTCTGTGGTGAAAGACCTTGAAAAGTTGGCACTTCTAGCCTAAGCTGCCATCATTCTGCTACTCACCCCAAGACGACCCAGGCTGGACAGTAGTGCTTCCCGCTTTGTTCCTCCATGGTCATCCATATCAGCACTTGACTGTTTATTTTCAAATCTCAAAACTCCAGTCCCCAGAACTTCATAATTTGCTTCTCGGCTGCTCTTGAAGGTGAATGAGGTCTTGATTTTCAAAAGAACATGTTGTATGATTGTTGTTGATGTATAGAAGAAGTGTTTAAGTTCTTACCTTTATCTCCCATTTGGCTTTAGATCCATATCTGAGTGATCATTCACTAATTCAGTAAATGTGTTTTAGAGTCTGAGAACTGTGAAAACGGTAGAAATCTTTGCTTGTAGAGCTTACAATATGGTAGAGGTAAATATATGTTACAGTGGTCAGAGTGTGGGGAAGGAAATAATTGGAGAGGGAATGCTGGTTTAGGTATTATTACTACTGTTTTTTTGTTTTGTTTTGTTTTGTTTTTGTGTGTGTGTAGATATCTTATATAGGGTAGTTAAGGTGACCTTTGACCAGAGTGTGGCTATCCAAAAAGGAATCATAAAGGGGGCAACAGTAGAGACAAGGCTGTGTAGTGTGACTGTGCTTCTGTGTTTGAAGAACATGAGGGAGACAAGGGGAATCTTCCTATTAACATGTAGCATTGACTTTCTAGGGAGAGCCTTTGATCTTATAATTGCAGAGTTTTCCAACTGTATACCAAAAAGCAAGGGAGTATAAGAAACCCTTGAATACATTCCTCAGCAGTTACTGACATTTTTTTTTGTTTGTTTTTTGTTTTTTTTTTTTTTTTTTTTTTTTTTTTGAGAGACAACACACATGGCTCTACTAGAACTCATTATGTAGACTAGGCTGGTCGAGAACTCAAAGAGATCCACTTGCCTCTGCCTCTGGAGTGCTGGTATTAAAGACATGTGCCACAATGTCCCACTCACAGTTATGAATCTATTGCAAAATTTATTTCATCTGTTTTCCCACTTATTTTATTTGGAACTGGGACACTACTTAATTTTTAAAATTAAAAATATAATTCTAGTTGGCCTATAAAACAATGTTTTTTTTCATACATATAATTGTACTTTCCTTATACTCATCCCCCTCAATAGTATTTTAAAGCAATTATCAGATATCAAATTATCTCATCTCTAAGAACTTCAGTTGTAATTGACTTTTTTTTAAGATTTTATTTATTTATTATGTATACAACATTCTGCTTCCATGTAAATCTGCACACCAGATCTCATTACAGATGGTTGTGAGCCACCATGTGGTTGCTGGGAATTGAACTCAGGACCTCTGGAAGAGCAGTCAGTGCTCTTAACCTCTGAGCCATCTCTCCAGCCCCTGTAATTGACTTTTGCATATTGTTTTTTGATCAGTGAGGTAGTACTATCAGCTCAAGAACTGCTATGTAGAGTTTGCTTTGGTGTTATGCTTTGTAGCCCCATACTGGACTAATTACCAGGTTTATCTTGGGATCTGAGAAGAAATGAGATGCTTGGAAGATACAATGACCTGGTAGGATGGTTCTCAAATGTTATCATGTAGCATAATAGCTTTAGGGCTTGAAACATTACTGAGTTCCAGCCCTGGTTTTTCTGCTTCACTGAATCTCAGGGGTTAAAGTTTAAAAATTGGCATTTTAACAAGTTCCCAGGTAATACTGATGCTGTAGACGCACCAGCCCACTTAGGACCAATAATGTAGAAAAGTAAGGTTTGGTAGAATCACATTAAGGACCAAGAATAACCCTGAGTAGTTTGGAGTGGGTTGATTGGGGTGCATGTGGAGCCAGGAAGGACTTGAATAGTAATTCCTAGTTTTGGCTTAATAGTAGAGAGCTTTTTACCAGGCGGTGGTTGTGCATGCCTTTAATCCTAGCACTTGAGAGACAGAGGCAGTGAGTTCAAGACCAGTCGGGTCTACAAAGCAAACACCAGGACAGTCAGGGCTGTTACAATGAGAAACCCTGTCTCAAAAAAAAAAAAAAAAAAAAAAAAAAAAAAAAAAAAAAAAAGACAAAAGAAAGAAAAGTAGAGAGCTTTTAACTGATTTAACATTTAGGATTAATTCCTGTGAAATTGTACTAATTGGTTATGGGATAGGGCAGTGTGTTGGTCTAAGTTGAAATCTCCCTAGGTGCTTGTAATGTATAAGTAATGTTTGTGACCTACTGATCTAGAGAGCAGCAGAAAGCTTTAAAAGCCTACTGTTATGGTAGTTCAGACATCCTTTACCATTCAAGCCTTCATAATTTCTAGCTGAGTTTTTTCCTGACCTGATGCAAGTGAAGGCTTCAGTGGGGCTAAAAATAGCCTGTTACAGGATGGAGATCTTCTAGGATTAGAAGTGGGGGAGGAGGTTAGTGCTTTTCTGAGTGCCAGTTGGGTCGTTACTGTAACGATGTGGAGATTAGGTTTTAAGACAACTCTGAAGCATTGTTTCAGCCATGACAACTCAGACAGTGTTTACTAGAGCATTGTCAGTGTTATTGAGAACTCTGTAAATGAGATTTATTTTTATGTATATGAATATGTATGTTGGATCCCCTGGAGCTAGAGTTACATAGGCAGTCATGAGCTGCCTGGTGTGGGTGCTGGGAACCCAACTCAGGGCCTCTGTAAGAGCACTATTAACCACTAAGCCATCTCTCCAGCCCCCTTGAATTAATTTATTTTTGAGACAGAGTCCTCAAAGTAGCCCAGGCTGACCTCAAACATGTTATCTTCCTAACACTAAAGATCCCCATCCTTATTGCTGGAACTATGGGTATGCACCACCAACTCAACTAAAGCTGATGTTTTAAAAGCAATAATGAGGTGTTAGGGATATGGCTTGTTGGTTAAAATGCCTGCCATGCAAATGTGATGACTGGAGTTTGGCTCCACAGAAACTACATCAGTGTCAGGTGGGCATGGTGGCTATGTGTAATTCTTGCTCTGGGAGTGTGGGGATAGGATCTCAGCAAGCTGGCTAGCTAGACTAGCCTGTATTGGTGAGATATATGTTTAGTTGAGAGATCTTGTCTTCAGTCAGGCAGAGAATGAATGAGAAAGACTCTCAAGAGTCAGCCTTGGACACACACACCTGCATATACATTTGCCTGCATACACATACACAATGCAAAGAAAAAAGTGATAATGGTCCAGTATGGGAAAATAGGAGCAAAGAGTTTAAGAAGAATGTGTTCTGGTTCATAAGGCTGGTGGGGATTGGTATTATGAGAGCTGTTCGTACGTGAACTGATTGGACACGGAAGCATAAGCAGTTGGTCCTGCCACTGTTACTTTTGGCTTTAAGGTTATTGTAACCTTATAGACTAGAGCAAATACTTACTCAAGTCCATAGTTTCAACTTTGAGTGGAATAGACAGGTGTATAGTCTACTTGTAGTGCTTTCAGCTTGGTTAAAGAACTACTAAAGTAGCTGGCCAGTGGTGGTGCATGCCTTGGGAGGCCGAGGCAGGCAGATCTCTGTGAGTTTAAGGCCAGTCTGGTCTACAAAGCCAGTTCCAGGACAGCTAGTACTGTTAACACTGAGAAAGAAACCCTGTCTCAAAAAACAAAAACAAAAAAACTACTAAAGTATGTTTGTTTGCATGCATTATGCCTCTTTACATGTGTCTATAGATGTATAAAATATACCTATGTGTATACTGCCCACCTATTAAGTGGTGAACCCAATTGTTATCTACTTTCCACAGGACAGTGAATTATTACCACAACAGCAGAGCCTGCCATCCCCAGCAGATCACCAGTACCTATGACCTCATCACCTCCTTTATCTCATTCTGTGATCTCCTAAATGCTCATCTTTTTGGCCTGGGTTCAGTTGGTGGTATGGAGGGGTGCTGCTTAGCACTGACCTGAGAGTGTGTGTGAGACCCACTGACCCAATGGTGAGGACTAACTCCTCATGTCTCCTAACTAGTCATCTAAGGGACAGATAAGACAAAAAGCTGACTTCACCTTTTCCTGGTATTTTCCCCCTCTTGCCCTTTTGGAAGTGGCTATTTGAAGTTGAAGGAAGGAGGAGGAGTGTGGAAACTGTTATTTGAGCTGTGTAGGGCTGTTCTCTTTGAAAGAAAGGGGAGAAGTAAATACTAAGAGGTAGAAGAGTAGGGGTGAACATTGGCTGTGGTAGCTTGCACCTGTAATCCCAGCATTTGGGAAGCTGAGGGAGGTGAATGCTGCAAGGTCTAGGCTAGCCAGGGCTACAGAGTGAGACTCTGTCTCAAAGACAATACATAAAATAAGAGAGATGAGGGAGTGATGATGCAGAACTTAGGTATGCTTAGGTTTTCCTCTGTCCCACCCGGTCAAAGCTAGACTATAGATAATATTGTACTCAGGATGAGTGAAGTGAAAGGTGTAAAAGGGTTAAGTCTTCAGTTATTCTATCACAAGAAATGTGAGGATCTGTTTCCCATCCTTTTGCCCTATGCTAGTCCGTGTAATAACAAGGACCTAACGAAGGATGGTGGTTGAGTGTTTTTGTTGTTGTTTATCTCCAGGACATCAAAGGCCAGTTCTGGAATGATGATGATTCAGAAGGAGACAATGAATCAGAGGAATTTTTGTATGGAGTTCAGGTGCGTTTGCATTCCCCCAATTGTTGGATGATTTAGACTTTGTATGCTGGGTACATCAAGAAGGAAAGAAGTTCTGCTGAACAGAGATGAATGAGATAAAGTGTTAGTGGGAACCGATAAGAATCTTTCAGAACTGACTCCTCCTTGTCCTTGCTCATGCCTAGGACTTGTCATTTTCCCATAGTACATCCTCTACAGGAAGGTGATCCTTATGTTAGAAATTATTCTCTCATTAGCCAGAGAGGGTCATTGTTATGATCAAGTTTTCAATGGCTCCCGGAGAGTGCTCATTATCATTGCAACCCAGAAAAACGCAATAGCTACCCATTGCAATTCTAAGCAATACTGCTCAGACTCTCAGGATGCTGCTCTTTAGATAGAACTCGTCTGAATTTCCATTGAAGGCAAAATTTGGGAGGAAAAGCTAGAGCTTGAAAATATAAGCTCTTTAAGCAAAGCCTGCCTGTTGGCCTGCTGAAATTTTCTTTTACTGGGATAGAGAGAGACTTGTTCCATGAAATTTGTGCTAGGAGCCTATTGCTACACTTTGCTTTTTCCTGTTCCTGGGGTATCTTCTTATTGTCTTTACTCTCTTTTTCTTCCCCTTTGTTTATCTCTTTCCATCCCTGCTACCATCAATATTTTTACTGCTATATCAGGGGAGCTGTGCAGCTGACCTGTATAGACACCCGCAGCTTGATGCAGACATTGAAGCAGTGAAGGAGATCTACAGTGAGAACTCTGTGTCCATCAGGTGGGACTCCACTTAAGGATGACAAGGATCTTTAAAAGGCTAGAGTTTCCTTTTGATAGTGTGATTGGCTGACAAATGTATAAGTTTAGCAATAGAAGGTTGCTCAGAGTATTTAAATATGGTTGGCCATAAGGTATAGGAGTTAAAACTATTTTATTAGCTATTCTCTTTCATTCTAAATACCTCTATGCCACTAGTTCCCTTTGAGGTAAGAAAGGCTATGGCCATAGGTGGTCTGATACATATCTAAGATCTTAAGTATGGAGCTACCTTCCACCCTTTCTCTGTTCCCAGGTTTAGTTCTTCTATCCTTTTTTACTTCTCAATTCCTTTCTCTCTTAATGAGCTTCACCTGTGGTTGCCTGTGTCTCTGCAGAGAATATGGAACTATTGATGACGTGGATATTGACCTCCATATCAACATCAGCTTCCTCGATGTAAGTGGTGCCAACAGCATGTATAGCTTGCCTTACAGATTTTTTTCATGTAGGCCTTGTGTCTTGTTCTTGAGTGTTGTATTTGAAGCATATATTCTTCATCTCTGTCTTTCCTAGACCATCAACAGGCAATGGTGTGTACTATTATGTGCTTGTGTGTCATATAGAGGAAACTTCTAGTCCATTTCTCTCTTGTAAACCAGAAGCAATTCCTCTTACTCTCTTAGGAGGAAGTATCTACAGCTTGGAAAGTCCTTCGAACAGAACCTATTGTGTTGAGGCTACGGTTTTCTCTTTCCCAGTACCTCGATGGACCAGGTAAAGGCAGTGACTTTGGGCAAGTGGGTAATCTAATTGTGGTCTGATCCAAAGTCCTAAGTTAACTGAAGTGGAAATAAAATTGGAAATAAGACCTTTGTGCTCATCCTTTTGTTTTCCATTCCTTATCATTAGTGTGTGCTCATCCCCAGTTATCTGATAGCCTTCTTCTTGATTTGTGAAATTGTTTTCTCTGATTTGAAGATATTTATTCTTCTCCAAACCTCTCAACTTCCTATTGAAAATATTTGAAAATTATCAAGTAGCTTCTAGAATTTAGTGTTGTCTCAAGTTTTCTTTCTCCACTGTGCGGGCATGTTCAGCTTGTTGAGATTCCAACACATTGTCTTCTTCAAAATCCACACTTATGAACTGAGCAGTTGAGTTACCAAAAAACAAAACAAAACAAAAAAGCAAAATTCTCATGATGTTTTTAAGAAAGTTATATTCAGCCACATTCATGGCTATCCTTAACTGCAAGTTGGATATGCCTGAGAATATCTAACAGCTACTGAGGAAGCTATCCTTCCGAACTGTGACTTTGTACTTCATGGAGATCAGAGGTATGCATGTATTGGAAACTTTCTTTTCTCTTTACAGAACCATCAATTGAGGTTTTCCAGCCATCGAATAAGGAAGGGTTTGGGCTAGGTCTTCAGTTAAAAAAGTAAGAACTTTTTTTGTTGTTCATGGATTTGTGAAGGAAAATTATTGAGATAGATGTGTCTTAGTCAGCTTTCCATTTCTGTTACAAAATACCTGAACTATTCAACTTAGAAGAAAGAAAATTTTATTTTAGCTCACAATTTGGAGGTTTCAGTCCACAGTAGCTTGACCCTGTTCCCTATTTATATTTGACAACACAGTATGTCATTGTGGAAGCATGTGGTAGAAGGGGTCAATTCAACTTAGGTTGTGGTTAGCAAACACAGACATACGGAAAGACAGACATACATACACATGAGGGTTCAGGGTACCAATATCTCCTGAAAGGGCATGCCCCCAGTGACTTAACTTCCTTCCACCAAGTCCTACCTCCTAAATATTGAACCACTTCCCAATAGTATCACAGGCTGGGGGCCAAACCTTTAACATGTTAACCTTTGGGAGACAGTCATGATCCAGACTATAACAACAAATGTGTGAAACCCATGAGCATCATGTTTTCTTCTAAAAATGTCCTTCTCAAATATTGCTAGGAAAAGTTAAATTTGGGAAGCTGGGCCCGGCAATGGACAACAACACACCTTTAATTGCGGCACTTGGGAGGCAGAGGAAAGCAGATCTCTTTGAGTTCAAATATAGCCTGGTCTACAGACCAAGTTCCAAGACAGCCAGGACTACACAGAGAAACCCTGTCTCGAAAAGCCAACAACCACACAAATTTGGGAAGCCAGATCTATGGTTGTGGAGGGGAAGCCTATGTTTTTAGGTGCTTGATATGACATTTCCTAGAAATTCAGAGAAAGACTCATCATTACCTAATATTTCAAGAAAAGTGGAATCAACAGCTTGGAATCAGAACCATACTATTCTTGTTTTCTCTTGTGGTTTCCTCAGAAAGGTTCCAGGTGCTTAGCCAAGTTTAGGGTATTGAATGTATTAAGATTTTTGTGCTAAAATTTTGATATTTGAATGTTTGGTACACAAAGAGAACTAAGCACATTTTCTATGTCGGACATGTTCCAAATAGAGTTCAATACAGGTTTAACAGTTTAGAAAGGACACAGGGGAAGGAGTGGCTCAGTCTAGTGGACAGGGGAAGGCTATGAATGAAAGAATGAAAGGAAGGTGATAATGGGTTTTAAGTGTGGCTAAGAATTACCCATATAGAGAGATAGCTTAGAGGTTAGGAGCACAGGCTGCATTGCTGAGTTCAATTCCCAGCAAGCACTCCTTGGCTCACAACCATCTATAATGTGATCTGGCGCCCTCTTCTGGCATGCAGGCAACATGCAGAACACTGTATACATAATAAATAAATCTTTAAAAAAAAAAAAAAAAAAAGAATTACCCATATAGATAGACTCTGGGAGCAGATAACACTTGCAGAGACATAGTCACTCAAAGCAGGGAGATGTTGATGGTAAAGCACAAGAAATCCAGAAAAGAAAGCTTCAAATGCAGGAAGATGCTGAGCTTTTACTTAGGCAGTGGGGACACTGAATGTGGTTTGTTTTGTTTTGTTTATTATTTTTATTTATTTATTTATTTTTGAAACAGGGTTTCTCTGTGTAGCTTTGGAGCCTGTCCTGGAACTTGCTCTGGAGAGCACCAGACTGGCCTCAAACTTGCAGAGATACGCCTGCCTCTGCCTCCTGAGTGCTGGGATTAAAGGCATGCGCCACCAACACCCGGCATTATTTTGTTTATGTTTAACATAATTTCCTTATTGAATCTTTGTGATTTTCACATTATATATCCCAATTCTGCTCACCTCCCAGTTCTTCCATATCCACCTCCCCTCCTCCCTACAGCAGCCCCCCAAATGAAAATTTAAAAAAAATCCAAACAAAAATAAGCAAACAGAAACAAAAAGAAAAACAAAACAAAATCCCTCTTGGTTCCTCCATCTTTTCCACCTAATACCTCTTCATTCATCCTGGTGGCATTGGGAGCCTTGGTGTATGACACAGTATACCCTTTTGTCCAATCAACTTTACTTGTAAATGTTCATTGCAATGAGTCATTAGTCTGTTTTAAGACCTCTGGTTTCTGATACGTTTGTTTATTTTTAAAAATTATATGTTTATTTTGTGAGCATGTTTGTGTCATGGTGCATGTGTCACAGTGTGTGTATGGAGATCAGAAGAAAACTTGTGGGAGTTGGCTTTCTCTTTCTACCATGTGGGTCCTTGGAATCAGACTCACTCAAGCCTCTATTTAACAAGCCATTTGTTGGCCTCTATTGAAAGACTTCTTTTTTTTTTAAGGTTTATTTGTTTTTATCTTATATGTATCAGTGTTTTGCCTACATGTATGTAAGTGTGGTAGTGCCCATAGAGGCCAGAAGATGTTGCTGGATCCCATGGAACTGCAGTTAAGTGTGGTTTTAAGCTTCCATGTGGGTTCTGGAAATTGAACCCTGGTTCTCTGGAAGAACAGCCATCACTCTAAACTATGGAGCCATCTCTCTAGCCCCCATTGAAAGGTTTCTAGCAAAGAAAGGACATGGTCTGATTTAGTTTTAGAAACTGCTCTGGCAGCATGCAAAATACTAGGATAATTTTCTTTTGTTTTAAACTGGGCAGTGGTGATCCCAGTACTCAGGAGAGAGAAGCAGGAGGATTAAGGCCAGCTTTGTCTACAGAGTGAATTCCAGGATAGCCAGAGCTACACATAGAAACACCGGCTCGAAAAACAAAAATTTAGAGTCACTCATTTTATTTTATATGTGAATGTTTTCCCTAATATATGTAGACAAAAGAATTACAGAATATAAACTTAGTAATACTTGGCTGATTTGGATATATTGAATGTTCTAAGAATCAGAGATGCTGGGTTTCTAGCCCAAATATCTGGGTAACCTTATGCTATGAAAAAGAAGAGGAACAGGCTTGTAGGATAAGAATTTTAAACATGCTGTTTAAGGACAGCCTTGGAATATGCAAGATGTTCAGTATCAAGTATATCAACTTGATATATACAGGAGAGGTTAGGGTTCTAGAAATGTTCTGGCTCATTGGTTAGGTAATGGGAGTGAGTGTTTATTCCTAGGATAAAGAAGGTGCTTTAGGACAAACAGTATTTCCATATGCCAGTGTCATATCAAGGGAGGCTTTAGGTATGCGTTATTCTACCATAACTAGCTTTATAGTTTATGGACCTGTAGATTAGTTTCCTTTCTTTGTCATTTTCTGCCTGATCTTTCCTAATCCTCTTGATCTCCTAGGATCCTGGGTATGTTTACATCCCAACAATGGAAACATCTGAGCAATGATTTCCTAAAGACCCAGCAAGAGAAGAGGCACAGTTGGTTCAAAGCAAGTGGTACCATCAAGAAGTTCCGAGCTGGCCTCAGCATCTTCTCACCCATTCCCAAGTAAATATTTCCCTAGAGTTGATCATTTCTAAATATCTGCCTTGCCATCTTCTTGAATGCTTAAATATTTCTTCTGTCTTTTCTCTGATTTCACTACTTTTACTACTAATAGTAATACATGGTCCTGGTCCCCTTTGTATCCTTAACCTTTCTACTTAGATTCAGTATTTATAACTCCCTTATGTCAAAGGACAGTACCTAGCTTTTGGAGGCATGTGTATTATTTTTCCATCATTTTAGAAAATTATCTTTATGGGCTGGAGAGATGGCTCAGCCATTAAAGGCTAGGCTCACAACCAAAAATAAGAAAATTATCTTTATGGTTATAGATGTTTTACTTGCAATATATGTGTGCCTGGTGCCCTCAGAGGCCAGAGGAAGGTGTTGAATCCTTTGGAACTGGAGTAACAGATGACTGTAAGCTGCCTTGGGATGCTTGGAATCAAACCCAGGTCCTTGGGCTGGAGAGATAGTTCAGAGGTTAAGAGCACTGACTGCTCTTCCAGAGGTCCTGAGTTCAATTTCCCAGCAACCACATGGTGGCTTACAACCATATGTTATGAGACCTGGTGCCCTCTTGTGGTGTGCAGATATACATGGAAGCAGAATGTTGTATACATAATAAATAGATACATTCTTTTTAAAAACAAACAAACAACAACAACAACAAAAACCCAGGTCCTCAGCCAGGTGATGGTGGCGCACGCCTTGTAATCCCAGCACTCAGGAGGCAGAGGCAGGTGGATCTCTGTGAGTTCGAGCCAAAGCCACAGAGAAACCCAGTCTCGAAAAACCAAAAAAAAAAAAAAAAAACCCAGGTCCTCTACAAGAACTGCTGAGCCAACTTTCAAGCCCTTTATTTTTCCATCTTATCTTTAGCTCTCATCCTTGTTTCTTGTAATAAAGAAACAAAGTAATAGACACTTCTGGCTTTTATGTAGGATATACTGATACCTGGGCTCTGGAAATAACCATTGCTCCATTCTTTGACCTGCTCTACGTTTCTACACTTTGGTGAATCAGAAACACTTCTGATTCTCCAAAGGGTGGACACAAAGATAGATTTATAGTGTCTCAAAAGACCACTATTGATGGTTGGAGAGTCGATATTAGGCAAGGTTTAGGATGTAACTACTTGCCTAGCATAGTGCTGAATGCTTAGTCCATTTCTCTCACAACAAAAAATGATCATTGGGCTGGAGAGATGGCTCAGTGGTTAAGAGACCTCTTTTTCCAGAGGTCCTGAATTCAACTCCCAGTAACCACATGGTGACTCACAATCATCTATAATGAGATCTGGTGCCCTCTTCTGGCATGCAGATGTACATGCAGACAGAGCACTCATAAATAAATCTTTTAAAAAAGTGATCATATCATCTTTAAGGAGTATACTTAGTCATACCTTGTTTTAATGACATGGTGGCCTAGGCTCTGCCTCTGCCTTTTCTATGCCACAACTTAAAGAACATGCAGATAATGATATCAAAAGCCAATTTTGCGACTTATTATTCTCTTTTGCCATTATGTAAGATAACAATAAACTATCCCCTTGAATTTATGATCATCTTTGGTCTATGATGTTCTTTTCTCTGATTCTCTTCTAGAACTCATAATGAATTCCCAGTTTTATTACTTTTTCTTTGTTCTTTCTCTGCAGGTCTCCCAGTTTTCCTATCATACAGGACTCCATGCTAAAAGGCAAACTGGGTGTACCAGAACTTCGAGTTGGACGCCTTATGAATCGTTCCATTTCTTGCACCATGAAGAACCCCAAAGTAGAGGTGTTTGGGTATCCCCCCAGCCCCCAGGCAGGTCTCCTGTGCCCCCAGCACGTGGGCCTCCCTCCCCCAGCACGGACTTCTCCTTTGGTACATGGGCTGGGGATGGTGTGATGGGGCATCAAGAGGGTGGGGGTGGAAATATAGGGGAATAACTTTTAAAAGGGGTTGGGGATAGAGCTGTCCAGTCAAATCCAGACATATATCATTAATGTATAGAATGGAATAGTTTTTAGTTTTTAGTTCCATCTAAATATAATTTAATTATATCTAAATATATATATGTATATATATAATAATTTAGTTATTAAATGCTTATATCATGTCTGATAGTAGTTTATAAAGCAGAGTCTGGAGATTGGCATGCCAAGAAATCATGTATAGTATAGTTAGACTATGGTTACATCTTGGTAGTCAGCTGTTGTTTCAACCTGTTCTGACTTTGAAGGGGGTTAAAGACAGGTGACGTTTAACAAAAACTTCTAAAGTTCGCTCCAGCTTTGTGATTACTTAAGCTGATCTGCACTAAGGCTTAGCTATTTTAGAGGAATCCAGGATGAGGGTGTGAAAGAGGTGTTTGGGCCCCACTTTATAGGAAACTCATAGGATCTGTCTTGAACTCTTACTAGGTCAGTGGTCACTGCAAGAACATCCCCACTCTAGAGTATGGATTCCTTGTCCAGGTAATCAAGTCCAGAGCTTTTTTCCAAAGCTCTTCCCTGTTGCTCACCCATCTAACTGCCTAACCCCCAGCTCTTGAGTCAGTTATTTACTGCATTGATTTGTTCCCAGAACTATACTGAGTATTGATTGAGTGGACAAAAAAGAAGGCATAGATTCCATCCTTAAGAGGGTCACAGCATTACCAAGAACACTTACTGCAGTGGTTCTCAATCTTCCTAATGCTGTGACCCTTAATACAGTTCCTCATGTTGTGGTGACCACAACCATAAAATTATTATTGTTGCTAATTCATGGTTATAATTTTGCTTCTGTCATAATCATAATGTAAATATCTGATATGTAGGATATCTTATATGCTGTCCCTGTGAAAGGCTCATTTGACCCCCCACGTTTAGAACCACTGATTTACAGGCTTAATAACCAGCCCATAAATATGTGAACAGTGATGGGCAGTGGTGGTGCACTCGGGAGGCAGAGGCAGGGGGATCTCTGTGAGTTCGAGGCCAGCCTGGTCTACAAGAGCGAGTTCCAGGATTGGCTCCAAAGCCACAGAGAAACCCTGTCTCAAAAAAACAAAAAAACAAAAAAAGACATGTGAACAGCTTGATTTATACACAAGAACAAGTTAAGTCAGTGTTAAGTCAGTAAAAATTGAAAACCAAATAGTTATACTGTTGCAAGAGCTCTGGGTTTGTGCCATCTTCCTTCCATAGAACATGTATGCATGTGTGTGTTTGACTAAGAGATAGCTTAATTGTCCTAGGTGGTAGAAATGACTTAAGCCCTGCCCTCCAGCATCCAATCCTGTATTGAATACTCACATGCCACAAATAGAAAGCCTGTAATAAGTACAGCCACTGTAACTGATTAGTTAGTACTATTTATAAAATACTTCCATGAGAACCTGTGAAATGGTTTAGCTGGTAAAAGCACTTGCTATGTAAGTCTAACAATTTGAGTTCACTCCCCAGAATGCCCGTAAAGGTGCAAGGAGAGAACTGACTCCATAAAGTTCTCCTGTGACCCATACATTGCCTTGTGATCCATGTACCCTCCTCCCATTACATAATGATACGGACTAAAAGCAAAATTTTATTTTTCAAATTTAATTCATTAGAGGGGGGCGTAAGTGTGTGTGTGTGCATCATGCATGCACATACATGTGTACCATAGCACTTGTGTGGAGGTTAGTAGACAGCTTGTGGGAGTTGGTTCTCTCCCTCTACATATTTGTCCCGGGAACTCAGGTTGACAGGCTTGATTCCATCTCCCAAAATTTAAATACTTTCATGGGCAGATTTCATTTCTTGCAGTATACCTATGAGGTGCATAATGTCTTACTTTATAAATGAAGAAACAAGGATAAATATATCTGACTTGCCTAGTTACATCTAATAGTAAATAGTAGATGGGGAATGTTAACTCAAGATTTCTATGTCGAAGATCATACTGGTCTACTTGTATAGTATCATAAAGGGTTAGCAGTGTAGTGAGGCCATCAGTTTAAGTTTAGAATCTAAGCTAGAAAAGATTAGTTATTTCCATTATCTCCAAAACAGCATGAAAAACTTCTGTACTTCCAAAAGATGTGGACTCTGTTCTCTCTCCAGATCATGAAGTATGCAGAGCAGAGGATTCCAACATTGAATGAGTACTGTGTGGTGTGTGATGAGCAGCATGTCTTCCAGAATGGGTCCATGCTTAAGGTATAGGCCTCTTCTCTGACCCTCTTACTTGGCCAAGGTCTTTTGCTTCCTATCTCTCCTTTCTTCCTAGGCCTATAGTAAAGGATAAGTCCTGTTTCCAGTCCTGTAGATTCTAAAAATAATTGTTTCCTCAGAAAACAAATTTCAAAAATCCTCTCTGGAGAGATAAGGGTATAAAAATAATTTTGAGGATACTATTCCCATCTAACATTTATATACATGGATCTGGTATTGACCATGCTGTAATTGGCTGTTCCCAAATCCAGATGGGTGGGCAGAACACTTAGCTATAAATTATAATCTATGTGTATTTAAGAGCAAGAAACAGTGCTCTGGAAATTCAGAAGAGAGAACTTCTACTACCTTAATAACCAGAGAGAATTTATAGGTAGAAAGATCACTCAAACTTAACCAGTAAGGCATTGATAGTCCCCTTCAATACACACACACATCTCAACACACAACTCACTTCTCCTTATATCTTCTCCATACACAACTCACACCTCTCCTGTCTGTTTAATATGTCCCTTTAGCCAGCTGTCTGTACTCGTGAACTATGTGTCTTCTCCTTCTACACACTGGGAGTCATGTCTGGAGCTGCAGAGGAGGTGGCTACTGGAGCAGAGGTATGAGGGAGGAAAAGGACACTGGGAAATTGGGATCAAGAAAAGTAAAAGAGGCCAGGTATGGTGTCAGTGCCTTTAATATCAGCACTTGGAGGACAGAGACAGGAGGATCTCTTGAGTTCCAGGCCAGCTTGGTCTACAGAGTGAGTTTGAAGCCATCCAGACCTACATAGTAAGGCCCTATCTCAAAGCAAAACAAACAAAAGCAAAGGAAGCCAGCAATTTCATTCATCATGCTTAATGATGCTCAGTAAAGTATAAAGCTCATAATAAAACTAAAATGAATAAATGGCCTCTATAGGAAGGTCATCCAAATTATGGCATATCCTTACATTGAAAATATTGAACAGCTATTATTTATACACATAAAAATGTAATATATAGTTATGTCCAAAATCAAGTATCAAGTCAGGTTATGGTGGTATGTTCCTTTCTTTATCTTCCTAATTGTTTGGAGGGCTGAAGTAGGAGGATTACTTGAGTTAAAAAGTTGCAAATACTTAGCATAGAGTGTCACAGTTCATCCTCCCCCCATACCCTCTGCCCTTTTCCCAAGAAGGAAAGAACAGATAACTATTTGCATATCAGTGTATCTGGAAGGGTATTCATCAAATTTTGTAGCTACTTGGGAGCAGATGAATTTGTTTGGATTGGAGATGGTATCTCTTTTCTTTAATCATTTTGCTAGTATTTAAACTTTTGATAAAGATTTATTTTTATTTTTAAGTGTTTTTCCTACATGTATGTATGTGTACCTTGTGGGTATCTGATGTTCATAGGGGTTAGAAAGGGTTTCAGGTTCTCTAGAATTGGAACTGCAGACTGTTTTGAACTGTCATGTGAATCCTGGGAACTGAACCCTGATCTTTTGGCAAGAGCATCAAGTATTCTTATCCACTAAGTTATCTCTCTAGCCCTAATATTTGAATTTTTATAATTTTGTTTTTACTAATTAGAAAGCCATGAAAACATTTGCTTTAAAAGGGATGGGGAGGCACAATCTGGAGTCCACTTGACTCCCAGAATTGGTCAGTCATTTAGTTCTTCCCCTTTCTTTTCTCCTAAGGTGGTAGATCTGCTGGTGGCCATGTGTAGAGCAGCTTTGGAGTCCCCTAGAAAGAGCATCATCTTCGAGCCTTATCCCTCTGTGGTGGACCCCACTGACCCCAAGACTTTGGCCTTTAACCCGAAGGTATAGTTGTTTGGGAGGAAAGGGCTAAGGAGCAGAAGTGGTAAATGGTGGGAGGTTGGGTTGTCATTCCAATACACACAACAGATGAAATAAAGGACAGAAGAAATGGAACACTTTTCTTGGGTACTCTTGAACTCAGGGATTAATCTGATGAAATAGCTGGGCTTGTCAAAAGAAGGGAAGAAAAATTAGTACCTGTTAACATCATGATGAAAAGAATATAGACTTGGGCTAAATGTGGTGGCTCATACTTGGCATCCGAGCACTTGGAAGACTGAGATAGGAGAATTGCTTAGTGTTTAAGGCCAGCCTGAACTGCATAGTAAATTTCAGGCTAGCTTACTCTAAGAATGAGATTATGACTGGGAGGAAAATAAAACAACAATGAAAGGAATAGGCTTGCTGGGAGCCAGCCCAACCTGGATCCCACCAGAGGGTCTTTGGCTTCCTAGTTGAATGGTGCTAGGGAATCTTTCTCAGTTTCAACTGCCCTGTCTGTAAAAGAGGTAGTAGTTATTTTGTGGACTGTCACAAAAATGAGAGATAATATATATAAAATACACTATGGGGTTCTGTGGAGAAACAGCTAATAGGCAGTGGATAACTATTAAATATATTCCATTTATTTACATATGAATTATAGAGGGAGGATTTTATTATGCGAAATGGTCCCACCTAATTAGGGAGGCTGAGAAGTCCCCACATCTAGAGTCAGCATGCTGGAAACCTTCTTTAGAGAGCCTATAATGAATGATGCTCCAGTTCCAGTCAGAGGCCTGAACCATGAAGGCTTACGACCCACAAGGGTCTGTTTTGTAATTCATTCAAATATAAAGCCAGGGAAAGGCTGATTTGTGAAGTATACCTTTTTATTCAAGAACCAGGATTGGGGAAGATTAGCTTTCTTATTCTATTTAGGTCTTTATTTGGCTAGATGAGATCCTTATTAAGGAGGGCAATCAGCTTTGCCTAGTCTACTCATTCAGCTGTTAATCTGAACCCCAAAACACCTTAGAAACCCAGAAACCATCTTAGACTAAATAAGTAGGTACACTGTAACATAGTCAAATTGACTTTTGGGGGGCAGCAGCAGGAGGTGGGGTTTCAAGACAGGGTTTCTCTGTTGTAGCCTTGGTTGTTCTAGAACTTGCTCTGTAGACCAGGCTGGCCTTAACTTCAGAGATCTGCCAACCTCTGCTTCCCGAGTACTGGGGTTGAAGGTGTGACCACTAGCTTTCAAATTTACTTCTAAAATTAACCATCACTGTATATCACAGTGCCTCATTGTTGTCTGTCAGTACTATATATTGAGCACAATACTAGATTTATGTATTTATTTAATTCTGAGACCATTTCTGAGAATGGCCACAAAAATACTATTTTTAGTTACAAACAGGGCCTAGAGTATAGCTCAATGTAGAACTTTTTTTTTTTTTTTTTCCTCCGAGACAGGGTTTCTCTGTGACTTTGGAGGCTGTCCTGGAACTAGCTCTTGTAGACCAGGCTGGTCTCAAACTCACAGAGATCCGCCTGCCTCTGCCTCTGCCTCCCAAGTGCTGGGATTAAAGGCTTGCGCCACCATCGCCCGGCCCAGTGTAGAACAGTTAACAGCATGCATGAGACCATAGGTTCAACCCCTAGCATCACCAAAATCCTGACATGTAAACATCAAACAAGCAAAACACCCCTGTCATTTGCAAACAGGGCTTGTAATACCTGAAGGTGTTCAGTGATTACAACTTGTAAAAGGACTAGTATACAATTCTACAACTCTAAAGTTTCCTGATAAAGTTTGTTTTTTTATGGCACACTTAAGTCTAGACTTAAACTGACCTGCTTTTTTTTTTAATTGTCGTGTCATTATATCTGCTATTTTTTTCCTAATTCTTTTCTTCCCATTTATTATCAACAGAAGAAGAATTATGAGCGGCTTCAGAAAGCTCTGGATAGTGTGATGTCCATCCGGGAGATGACCCAGGTATTTTTCGTTCTCTTTGCATAGCTCAACACCCTTTCCTGCTTGTAATTCACAGGACTAGGGTGAAGATTTAGAGAAGCTACTCAAATTCATGTTTCTTTATGTTCCCTTTGTAACCTTCTCAGTTCTTGTTCTCTGTTTTGTTAGCTTTCTTACTCTAATTCTCTTCACTCCTACTGTCTCTCTCAACCTTTATCTTTGCTGCAGATTTCTTCACAAGTTGTTCATGTTTTAACTTTTTTTCATAGTTCTTGAGGAATTAGAGAAGCTAGGGAAAGACCTCTGCCCAAGGTTGGGAGGGTGAAGAGGGTGCTTGGAGATAAGGAGCTAGATCCAGGGGCTGCATCTTCTGTCCTTCTAGGGGTGGGGCAGCCACACGGAGCAGTGATCATCCTTTGACTCAAGGCTGTCCCTCACCAGATTTCCCCACCCCTCGTCTGCAGTCTCTGCATGAATAGACATTCATTTGCACTCATATTTACAGGTGGGCCTCTTCTCAGCCAATCCTATATATCACAGTGCAGATTAACACAGAAGGTACACCTAGAAGGGGTGATTCACTATTAGAAAGACCGTGTTATGTGAAGATTTGCCACAGGATTCTTTAGCCTAATCTTTGGGAGACATTGATTTTATTTATTTTTTGATTTGTAAGCAGCATTTTTAGAGCTGTAGGAGTTGCATAAAATGAGGGAGACCCACCTGCATGTTGTTTTGTAAGCATCTTCAGTCATTTTCATAAATCTTGCCAACTTGGCTGGACCTCCTTAAGGGTGGGAATCCCCTTGACTTTGTTCTTCCAATTGCCTATCTTGCCTTGGGTCCCAGTAGTCTGTAGAGAGTGGGAGGGGTCCTTCCTCTCCTGGGAGATAATCTTATGGCCATTGTCTTACAGGGCTCATATTTGGAAATCAAGAAACAGATGGACAAGCTGGATCCCTTGGCCCATCCTCTTCTGCAGTGGTATGGATTGAATGGCTCAGGCTTCATAGGGGGTGGGGAAGGAAAGAGTTATAGGGCACGGATCTATACCTTCTCCTAAAGGGATTTCAGCATTCTTTATAAGGTTCTAGATTATGACTACTTTTTCTTGTTTTGCTGACAAGTCTTGACTTGACAGTAACTAACTACAAAGAGGTCACAAATTCTAACATGATTTCTCAGGTTCTCTTTAAGTATTCTATATTTCCCCAAATGCTTGTTTTCTTACATCTTTTAATTATAAGATTTTTAAAAGTATGTGTATTTGTTATGTACAGCATGCATTAGGTAATGGCTCACTAGACTTTTTGAGTGCTAGGATTTTGCCCATGCACAGCAATTTTCAAAAATTTAATGTTAGTAACTATAGTTGTCATTAGTAGGTTTTGAAGTTTTCTTACACTGTTTATTTCAGCTTAGTTTTCTGGGTGTTCAAAGAAATTAATCTCTACTTGCTATCTCCTTCCCTGATGAAGAGTGGCTAGAACCAGATGCACTGTTGTTTCCTACTGCTGGCAAAGAATTGGACTGTTTCATTACTCTCCCTCCCTCCTGCTGATTTTTCTTTTGTTACATGACAACTTATCTTTCTAGTTTGCCTCCTTCCAAGTCAGCCCCTGACACTAAGAAGCCAGTGCAGTAGATTGTCCCCTCATACATAGCATGAGTAATTACCAGACATAGACTTTCTAAAGTAGCATCATAAGTTAGGTTGAGAGCCTGGGGAGATTGCTTAGTTGGTGAAATAATTACCATATAAACATGAGGAACTGAGTATGATTCCTGGCACTCACAAAAAAAAGCCAGGCATGACAGCATACACTTGTAATTGCAGCACTAGGAGGCAAAGATAGGCAGGTCTCTGGGACTCACTGACCAGCCAGTGTAGTCTAATCAGTGAGCCCTAGGTCCCAGTTAAAGACTTGTTTCAAAAAACAAAGTGGACATTTCCTAAGGAACAACACCTCCACGGGTGCACATATATGTGCACCACCTGCCCAATGCACACTTGTATATACATACACAAAAATTTAAACAACCACAAAATAAGTACATAGATGAGGTACAGAAAACACCGTATCTACTGTAGGATATAGTGTTCTTGCTGAACCCTCACTGTTTTATATCTTTGTTCTCCTACTCTTATGTTCAGCCTATTTACAGCCTAATCTGTCCTTGACTCCTGAGAAAGCTAATTCTAATTTCTTTTGGTTACTTCCCTCCAATCTATATAGTGTCTATTTTTCTATCCCTGAGATTCTTTAGGATTCCTTTGAGCTTAAGCAGGTTGGCTCCTGAGCCTCGGTTTTGAGACTTTAAAACCCAGACACAAGTTTAACCATTTTTTATTCAGACCTTTGTCTCTAATTGGTAACTTCTGATACTCTTTTTGTTTGTGGTTCTTTTGTTTTGTTTTGTTTTCAAACCAGGGTTTCTTTATGTACCCCCAGCTGTCCTGGGATTCAACTCTGTAGACCAGGCTGGCCTCAAACTGACAGATTCATCTGCCTCTGCTTCCTGAGTACTAGGATCAAAGGCGTGTACCTCCACTATCCAGCTTCTAATATTCTTTCTGTTCAATGCTTTTCTCTCCCTAGATATATCAGCCTTCTCCCAGATTCTCTTTTTGCCTGTTGTTTAATTTCTTGATAATTAACTAGTCTGGCTGTGGCCTGGAAATAATCACGCAATTCAGACATTGGCATCTTTTTTGTAGTACGTAGATTAGAGGAAAGTTGCTTTTTCGGGATAACTTCACCACATACTCATTTTGTCCCTTCCCTTTTTCTGTTTCTTCCCCAGGATAATTTCTAGCAACAGGTCACACATTGTCAAACTACCTCTCAGCAGGGTAAGTAATTATTCTCCCACTGTAAGCTTCAAACTTCTAGTGAGAGGCAAAGAAGGGCCCAATGCCCACTAACTGTATTGGTCCCCAATTAGCTTGGTTGGTACAGCATAGTTTTTTTTTTTTTTTTTGGTTTTTCAAGGCAGGATTTGTCTGTATTGCTTTGGAACCTGTCCTGGACCTCGCTCTGTAGACCAGACTGGCCTGGAACTCACAGAGATCCACCTGCTTCTGCCTCCCAAGTGCTGGGAATAAAGGCGTGGGCCATTAATGGCCAGCTCATCAGCATAGTCTCTGAGCCTAAACTTATTTCCCTTGTTTGGTGTTAGTGTAACTCTAATTTGTTTCTTGTTTCCAACCTTTCCCTCCCTGATCTCTATTTCTGTTCTGTTTTTTTATCCCACCCCCACCATGGGCAGCAGCTGAAGTTCATGCACACCTCACACCAATTCCTCCTGCTGAGCAGCCCTCCTGCCAAGGAGGCTCGGTTCCGGACCGCCAAGAAGCTCTACGGAAGCACCTTTGCCTTCCAGTAAGGATGGTGGGAACTGAGCTGCAGTAGGTGGGATGAGATAGTAAGGCCTTGAGATATGTGAGTTTTGTTTTATTAAATGCTACTGTAAAGGGTAAAATGCTACATGTGACATGTTCTTTATATTTAAACTACCTATGAAGTAGTTGAATGGAAAGAATATTTACTTAAAAAGATAAGAAGGAACAGATTGGAAGGATAGATTTGAAAGTTTGGGGAAGAAATCCACAATTTATGCCTAACTGTGAGAGGGAAGAAAAGAACAGTATTAAGGGCAATTTAGAGTGAGTCTTAGTGCTTCTTTAAAAAATACAATGTGACCTCTGGACCAGAAGCCATATTTGAGATCAGTGATAAGTTTATTGAATTTGAGATGAATTTATTGAATTTGAAGCATCAGGAAAATAGGCAAATGAAAATACGTAGCCAGTGGTTGAGGGTTTAGAATGTGGTTAGTTGAAAACAAGAGATGTAAGGTTTAACCGCACATACACATACACACATACATCTTGCTGCCTATGTCTATATCTGTGAACATGTCAGTCATTAGGTGTGTCTGCCCATCGCATGTACTATGTGGGTAAGGGGGTTATAATTTCAGGCTTGGAAGTAGTCCTAGGAATCTCTTACCATGAGGGGGACATATATTCTATCCTGCCTTACAGTGGGTCCCACATTGAGAACTGGCATTCAATCCTGCGCAATGGGCTGGTCAATGCATCCTACACCAAACTGCAGGTGAGGCTGTGTCCTTTTCTCCTTTCTTTTCACTCCCTACTTCGCTCAGTTTATGGTAGTCTGCTGTAAAGTGCTTGAGTATCTCTCTGTTCATGCCTCAACATCATCATGCTTAGCTTACCTTGAGAAAAATAGAGCCTACCTACAGACAAAGTTGGCATTGTAAATATTGAATGAATATGGCTGTTGTATATTTTAAGTTGAGCTGTGTTTTTGGTTGTTTAGGGAATGGGAAATAACCTGTTATGACAGAGACCTTCCATTTTGTGGCTATTCCAAGTTGTTACAAAGACTTATTTCATTGCCCTTAGAAACTACTGGGAGTGGTTTTGATCCTCTTCCTGCTACTTTTTCCATAGTCCCTTTGTTTGAGAATCTGAAAATATATGAAGGCTTGAGGTCATAAGTATGAATGACTCAGTGATTCTGCTACTCCTTGTTCTCCAAGGCATTAATCTTTAGCATTTTATAAGCACACAGTTTAACCTAATCCACTTTTCAGCCAATCAGCTTTTCAAGAGTAGGTGCCTAGAGTTATTTGAATGAGTGAGAAGGTAGATAAATGGAGGGACAAAGGACTGCATAAGTGTTATGGATGCCTAATATACAGCCATGGGGGGCCCAGGCTCATATATTCATCCTGGTGTTTCCCTGCAAGCTGCATGGAGCAGCCTATGGCAAAGGCATCTACCTGAGCCCCATCTCCAGTATTTCCTTTGGATACTCAGGTAAGCAATACTCTTTGGCCACCTTGACTCTTTATATTGCATCCATTTGTGAACACATGATCTGTGCTGTCTCCTCTCCCATTGTGGATACTTGGTCTTTGTCAGTGCCCTTTCCAATCATGGATACATATTCTGTCTCTTTTCTATTTTCTATCATTAGAAATTTAGATAAGGCAAGGGTTGTTATTGTAAAAAATGGTAGTTTTATACAGTGTAGGAAGTAGGCCCTGGGGATGGATTAATGAATAAATAGAAAGCAAAAAAGGCTTTTTGTAGACCAGATTTGTTTTCCTTTTTCAAGACTGACTTGTATAGTTCATGTTGTCCTTGAACTCAGTGTGTATACAAAGATGACTTTGAACTCCTGATCCTCCTAAGTACTGGAATTATAAGCATGTGCCACCATGCCCATATAAACTACATTTTTGACATGAGCAATTACAAATTGTGTGCATACATATGAATTCAAGTGTCAATACTCTTGAATGTTGGGGTCTTAGAATTTGCTTATATTTTTGGAGATGCTATTCTCTCACTCAACTACCTTTTAAATTTTAAATGGACTGTAAACACACTATTATAATAGTTACATTGAATGAAAGAGAAAGTTCTTTATTCAAGAGACATGAATGACGTCCAGATTCTAAGATGATTCTAGTATTATTTAGCTCAGAAAAAGAATTGAAGTTGGAATTCTTTCAGTGTTAGACATTCATGTTTCTGTTTGGTATGCTTTTGTTCTTGTTCAGTGGAGTCTCTGTCTAAGATACAGCAAACCAAGTAGTTGCATGTCCACTATAGGAAAGCAGTTATACTAGTATTTTTTTATAGATTATTGTGTAGTATTTTCAGTAATTATAGCAATAAAAAAAAATCTAGAATCACAGAACTAAGACAGGCAGTAATAGCACAAAACTTTTTCCCAATACTTGGGAGGCAGAAGCAGACAGATTTCTGTAAGATAGAGGCCCGCCTATTCTACAGAATGCATACATTCCAAGATGGTCAAAGATGCACAGAGAAACCCTGTCTTGAAAAGCCAAAACAAAACAAAACAAAAGAATCACAGAACTGCAAAACTAATAATCTAGTTATGATGGTGAGTATGTGTGTGTGTGTGCGCGCGCTCGTGTGTGAGCATGTGCATGCATGTGTGTGTGTTTTCCCAGATATTCTAGAGGCTTAGGCAAGAGGATCATGAGTTTGGGGTCAGCTTGGGCAACTTATTGAGATCTTGTCTCAAAATAAATTCATAAAATGCCTAGGAATGTAGGTCAATGGTAGAGCTTCCTTCCTTCCTTCCTTCCTTCCTTCCTTCCTTCCTTCCTTCCTTCCTTCCTTCCTTTTTTTTCCAGAGACAAGGTTTCTCTGTGTAGCTTTGTAGAGCAGGCTGTCCTCAAACCACCTGCCTCTGCCTCCCAAGTGCTGAGACTAAAAGGGGTGTGCCACCACCGCCTGGCCAAGTGTTTCTTATTATACATGACGTTTTAAGGTCAATCTTCAGTACTACAAAACAAAACAAAACATGAAAGAGGAATCTAGAACCCTTTTTAATGATAGAACAAAGGAATCAAAAAAGAAAAGATGATGATAGGTAGAAAGGAAAACCAGTGAGCTGATACAGACACTGTAGGGCAGGACTGAAAAAGTCAGATGATTCAGCTGGGTATAGTGACTCATGCCTTTAATCCCAGCCCTCAGGAGGAGACAGGAGGGTTCAAGGGCAATCTGAGTTACATAGTAATTTCCAGGCCACTCTTGATTACAGAATGAAACATCTGTTTCAAAAACCAAACAAATTAACAAAATGATGGACCAAGATGTAGCTTAGTGGTGAAGTCCTTGCCTAGCATATGCAGTGAGACAGCCAAACAAAAACAACTGGTAAACAGAGGGGGTTAGTTTAAGAAGAACGAGCACAAATGTGAACAGAAAAGCCAGCATAAAGACAAATGTACCATATTTTTTCAAGTTTAGGAGAAAAGTCTGTAAATGTTCTATCAATAATTTGACACCTTTTGACAAAAGGCCTAGAAAAGTGTAACAATAAAACTGACTAAAAGAAAATAAAAACATGGTAGACGATCAAGCCCAAGTAGTATTGGGAGGGGGTTGTTTGTTTTGTTTCTTTGTCTGGGGATGGAACCCAGGACTTTGAACATGATAAACACTTTACCTCTGAGTTGTCCCTCTCTGTGCATAGTCTTATGAGTCTTAAACTATCAATGAGCAGATTTTTTGTTGTTGTTGTTTTTGGTTTTGCGAGACAGAGTTTCTCTATGTAGCTTTGGAGCCCATCCTGGCACTCCTCTGGAGACCAGACTGGGCTCGAACTCACAGACATCCATCTGCCTGTGCCTCCTGAAAGGCGTGTGCCACCAACGCCCTGCTGGAGCAGATTGTTTTAATCTTAGACAAAAATGTAGAGAATGGAAAAGAGAAACAAAAAAAGTTTGTCAGATCTGATTGAAACTAAAGCATTCTATTCAAAAGAGCATATGTAGCCTTTAATCCCAGCACTCGGGAGGCAGAGGCAGGCAGATCTCTGTGAGTTCGAGGCCAGCCTGGTCTCCAGAGAGTGCCAGGATAGGCTCCAAAGCTGCACAGAGAAACCCAGACTCGAGAAAAAAAAACAAAAAACAAAAAACAAAAAACAAAACAAAACAAAACAAAAAGAGCATATGTAAAGGGAAAGTAAAGACTAAAGACAGGGTATAAACTTGGAGAAGATACTTATAAAATGCATAAAAAATAAGATTAATCATAAAATGTATTTAAATTTTGCTGGAGAAACAACTCAGTGGTTAAAAGCATTGACTGCTTTTCCAGAGAACCCAGGTTCAGTTCTCAGCACCCACACAGCAGCTTACAACCATCCATAACTCTAGTTTCAGGACATTCAATATCCTCTTCTGACCTCTGAGGATATTCACATGGTGCACAGCTATATACATAAAACTTTATGTATATATTTATTAATAAATAATTTAAAGCATATCTTAAAATTTGTTAGCCGGGCCTTGTTGGCACACGCCTTTAATCCCAGCACTCGGGAGGCAGAGGCAGGTGGATCTCTGTGAGTTCAAAGGTAGCCTGGTTTCCAGAGCGAGTGCCAGGATAGGCTCCAAAGCTACACAGAGAAACCCTGTCTCAAAAAACAAAAAAAAACAAAACAAAACAAAAAAATTGTTAGCCAGGTGTGGTGGCATACAGTTGTATCTCAGTGAGCTGAGACAGAAAGATCACAAGTTAACAGCCTTCCTGAGCTAAATAGCAAGTTCAAGGATGGCATGGGCAATTTAAAAGACCTTATCTTGGGTTTTTTTTTTTTTTTTTTTTTTTTTTGGTTTTTTGTTTTTGTTTTTTGTTTGGTTGGTTTGGTTTGGTTTTTTTTGAGACAGGGTTTCTCTATAGTTTTGGAGCCTGCCCTAGAACTTACTCTGTAGACCAGGCTACCCTTGAACTCACAGAGATCTGCCTGCCTCTGCCTCCTGAATGCTAGGATGTATGTGCCTGGCCTTATCGCAGCTGTTAAAAGAAGCACCAGTCTTGGTGGTGGTGGTGGCGCATACCTTTAATCCCAGCATTTTGGAGGCAGAGACATGTGGATCTTTGTGAGTTCCAGGCCAGCCTGGTCTACAGAGCAAGGTCCAGAACATCTAGAGCTGTTACATGAGAAACCCTGATTTTGGGGGAAAATGTTCTAGTACACAGACAGCTACATGGTAGAGCATACACTGAGTCCAATCTCAAGTGACATTTAAAAAAAAAAATGTATAGGTCAATACAATGCCTATTTAAAAAGCAAGCAAATACTATAAATGATGATTCCATTGAAGAAATCCCCCCCATCCCCGTATGAAATCTATGTAACCTGTAGAGGGAAATAAAAAAACTAAGTGAGTTTTTATTTAGTACCCATGTAGATCAACAAAAAGAAAGAAATCTGATAATACATGATTATTCCAAAGGCTTTAAAAATCCACAGGATCTCCTTTACCGTCTGTAGGGATATGAATTCATACAGTCATCGGAGGAGACAATTTCTCTCTCTCTCTCTCTCTCTCTCTCTCTCTCTCTCTCTCTCTCTCTCTCTCTGTTTTTCAAGATGGTTTCTCTGTGTAGCTTTGGAGCCTGCCCTGGAACTCGCTCTTTAGACCAGGCTACCCTTGAACTCACAGAGATCTGCCTGCCTCTACCTCCCAAGTGCTAGAATTAAAGGTGAGTGTTACCAGGTGGAGCCAGGAATTTTTTTTTATAGATTTCTTATCATTCCTTAGCACTTTACCAACTACATTAAAGCATCATATCACACTGTCCTTTCCAAACCACAGTGTTAAAGATCCAGACTCCCATAATATTTCAATAAGAATTTGCTATTGATCCTCTAGTCCAATTCCTTATTATTTTATGGATAAGCTGATTTGTAGAAAAGTCAAACACTTTCTTTAGATCATACAACTTTGAGTAGCAGAGATAAAACTGAAATCCAAGTCTCCTAACTTGTAGGCCATTGTTCTCATTACAATATTGACTGACAAGGGGACACTTTGTTTGAATCACTGGATCTCTGAGGTCCCAGAAGATAAATAAAAACCTTTATAACACTGGGTGGGTTGTATGCAAATGTCCCGCTTACTATTGTTACTCTGGCATTTGGTCAACTCTGTTGCATGTTTCCTTCTTAGTCTACTCTGGTTTTCTGTTTCTTTTTTCTCAGAGGTTATCTTTGGTGGGCAGCATGAGGTGTGCTTAAAGAGCATGCATTTGACCAATGGCACTCTAATAACTTGCCCATGATTGTCTGAAGAAATTAGGGACAATGAATGGAGTTAAATTTTCTTTGTTTAGTCCTGTTTAGAAATTAATTCTGGCTGGATGGTAGTGGCGTACGCCCTTAATCCTAGCACTCAGTAGGCAGAGGCAAACAGATAGATCTCTGTGAGTTGGAGGACAATCAGATCTACAGAGCAAATTTCCAGACAACCAGGGCTACATAGAGAAACCGTGTCTCGGAAAAAAAAAAAAAGAAAGAAAGAAAGAAAAAAGAAAAATAATTCTGGACACAAAAGTGTCCAGAGATTATTCTAAGCATCAAATAGTGTAGTCCAAGGACAGGAATAGAATAGTCACTGGATCAGTATGAATCGGACAGTGAAATAGGTTTGAGACAGGACAAGAGTTTAGGTACTTAAAGTGCCACCTCTAAGGCTCACCAAAGAAATCAAATTATTCTTTCTTCTCCTGCCTGCTTTCTCTGAAGTAGAACCTGAATGGGAATTTCTCTTAGAATTTTGCCATTGAAATATCTAGGCTGAGATCATGATATTTGGATACAGAGTTAAGCCTTGTTCAGGATGATAGAGATGTCCTACAGGAGGAAGGGATTGGCAGTTCAAGCTGAGTTTTGTTCAGGCCATGAATTTACCATGAAATTTTAGTGTAAATGCATGTTGAGTTGACATCTGGCTTGCTCAGTGAAGAATTTCAGTCCAGTAGTTATCACCTCCCACTTGTGGCCATTATAAAACCAAGATAGGCTGGTGAGATAGTTCAACCAGTAAAAGTACTTGATACCCAAGCCTCATGACATGAGTTTTATCCCTTCCATCTTTTAAAAGTAGTCCTTTGAGCTGAGTGTGGTAGCACACATTGTCTTTAATCCCAGCATTGCAGAGCAGGTGCTCTTTATGAGTTCAAGGCCAGCTTGGTCTACATAGAGAATTCTAGGTCAGCTATGACTGGAAAGTCCAAACCCAAGCAAAGTCATAACCAAATCCCAAACAAAACAATAAAACCCAAAAAAGTTATCCTCTGACCTCCATATGTACCTGCACTCACATCAAATACACATAATAAATAAAACTTAAGTTTAATCATATTAGCAAGTGGGGGGAGTCAAGCCCACGATGGGGAAAACCAGAGACAGCTAACCTGAGCTAATGGAAGCTCATGGACTCTAGACTGACAGCTGGGGAACCTGCAAGTGACCGAACTAGGCCCTCTGAATGTGGGCGACAGTTATGTGACTTGATCTGTTAAGGGAGCGGAGCTGGCAATGGGACCATGACTTATCCTGGTTGCATGAATGTACTTTTTGGAACCTATTCCTTATGGTGGGATACCTTGCTCAGCCTTGATATAGGAGAGAAGGCATTTGGTCCTGCCTCAACTTGGTATGCCAGACTTTGTTGACTCCCTAAGGGAGGCCTTACCCGCTCTGAGAATTGAATAGGGGGTGGGATGGAAAGGAGGTGGGAGGGCAGGAGAAGAGGAGTGGGGAAACTGGGGTTGGTATGTAAAATGAAAACTAAATAATAATAATAATAATAATAATAATAATAATAATAATAATAATAATAAATTTCTCCCATGGGGAAAAATTTTAAGTTTAAATTTTGGCAAAACCAAGATTTAAAGCAGAGTGAAGTTGTAATGAAGTAGAATGGTGAGATTGGAACCCTGTTTATGGATTGTATTGATAATATCATTTTCATATTTTGTCCCATCTTGTTGGTTACACACTTCTAACTAATAGGCTGTGATTATGAAAAGCCTGGAGACATACTGAAATCCTGTCCTTATGCTAAAAAGAGTTAGGAGTAGGAGGCATACAGGGACTATTTGATACATAAGCAGAAATCCTATTTCATTCTTTACAAACAACGCCTCTTCTATAATTGCTAAAAATAGTAGAGAAAAAAAGCAAGGCGTGGCTGGACATTGGTGGTGTAGCCAAGTGTTGGTGGCACACGCCTTTAATCCCAGCATTCAGGAGGCAGAGGCAGGTAGATCTATGTGAGTTCGAGGCTAGCCTGGTCTACAGAGTGTGTTCCAGGACAGGCTCCAAAGCTACAGAGAAACCCTATCTCAAAAAACAAAAACAAAAACAAAAAAACACAAAAAATAATATAGTAATAATAATAGCTGGGCATGGTGGCACATACCTTTAATCTCAGCACTTAGGACAAAGAGGCAAGTAGATCTCTTGAGTTTGAGATCAGCCTGGTCTACTAAGTGAGTTCCAAGACAGCCAGGACTGTTACACAGAGAAACCCTGTCTCAAAAAAGGGGGTGGGGGGCAGAGATTTTATGTACTGAGATAATAGAAATGAGAGGGAGTTGGCACTTTTTCTAAAGGTAGTATTCTTCAATGTGGTTGTCAGTGAATATCTCCGGAGAATCAATATGGAAGGGCTCTATTTTCTCTTTATCCTGAGTGGTAAATCTTTTGTGTAACTTTAAAACTACAGCATATTGTACTTCCTCTGCTTGCTTACTCCCAACTCATGTCTCTGGCTTGTCATTTGACTCTGAGGTATTGGTATCCTACTCTGCTGGGCCCTTCTTTCCTGACTCGTGTTACTTCCCTGTGTTAGATAGAACCCTTCAGTGGTTCCCTGGTGTTCTTAGAGGATCAGCTCCAGTTGTCTTAACAGCCCATAAAGCCTGCTTGATTTGGCCCTCGTTTACATCTTTTGCATCATTTTTTGCCATTCTTAAGTCTATGGGCCTATCTGTCTTTATGCTTTCCATATTCTATTATACTAACTCTTCCTAATTCTGAGGTCCTGAGTCTTATTGCACCAGGACATCTTCAAACCCCTGGGCTAGGCTAGTTCTCCTTCCCCGGTTCACATGGTGGTCTTATAAGCTCACCATCACAACCCTCACCATACTGTGTTGTAATTACTTATTCCTTGCCTGCAATCTCTACCAGACTAATTCTGTGTGGGAAAATAGCTTGTTTATTCACCACTGTATCACCAAATGTCTCTAGTTTGTATCTGGCATATAGTAAGTACTTCCATAAATTAAATATTTAGGAAATGAATGAATTAACTGAGATTGTTGTTCTGTAACAGGAATGGGCAAAGGACAGCACAGAATGCCTTCCAAGGATGAGCTGGTCCAGAGATATAACAGGATGAACACCATCCCCCAGGTATTGTTTGCTGGTTCTGCCTGAGTTATGACCTTTCTCTTGATCCTGCTAAAAATAACACATGGGGGAACAGTGGAGCTAGGGCCATTGTAGATCATGTAAAGGCACTAGGTATATTGTAAAATGATCTTCAGTCGTATGTTATCTGAAAGCAAAGGCAGGTTAAATGAAAAGATGAACATGGAAGCTGTGGAGCCATTAGGGTCATTATATGTAGCAAACATTTGGAGGGTGGCTGGGAGTTCAGGAGACCCAATTCCTATCCTTGTCATCCCCCTCATCAATAACTAACCAGCTTCTTGAGAACAAGCTCTAACATTTTACCTTGCTCTACTCTCCTCTGCCTCTTTCTTTCAGACCCGATCCATTCAGTCAAGGTTCCTGCAGAGTCGGAATCTAAACTGTATAGCACTTTGTGAAGGTATGCAATTCACCCAGTTCATGTCTTTTTGGAAACTCAACCTTTATTTCTGATGCCTCTTTGGCATATGATTCAACTAAAAGTTATGTTGAAGCATCGTGTCCTCCTTCCCTACCTGGACTGTCTTAAGCTTTATATCTGTGACTTCTGGCTCCTCTTTTCACAGTGATTACATCTAAGGACCTTCAGAAGCATGGGAACATTTGGGTGTGCCCTGTGTCCGACCATGTCTGCACAAGGTTCTTCTTTGTGTGAGTCTAAAAGGAACCTTTGGGATTACTTGAAGAGTGAGGACGGTAGATGGTGTGTGACTGCTGAGGATGTCCAATTTTGTTTTCTGAGTCCTGTCCCTTGCTAATTTAGCTGGCAGTGGGACTTTGCCCTTAGGGATAAGGGCACATCATTGGGGTCTGTGCTGAGCTGATCCGTTCATCCTGAAGAGCAGTGACAAAATCTTTGACTTTTGGATGAAATGGTCACATCTGGAAACACTTCTGCTGGTAGACATGGTTTAGTATTATGCTTCCCCTTGTGCTCATACTTCCCCTGTCTTTGGCAGATATGAGGATGGGCAGGTGGGCGATGCCAACATTAATACTCAGGACCCCAAGATACAGAAGGAAATCATGCGTGTGATCGGAACTCAGGTTTACACAAACTGAGGGGGCCCCAGCCCTCGTACCACCCTGTTCCCCCAGGATCCATCTGCCCTTGTAAAAGGGCTCAGGAGCAGCAGGTGAGGCTGCCCTGAGAAATTTCAAGGGCCAAGAAAAGGATAGAAGAGGCAGCCTTCATGGTGGAGATTGATCCAGGAACTTCTCCACATTTGGATGGCCCTGACTGACTCCCACCCCTGATTTGCCCAGTTGACTTCACCCTGTTTGTAAATAAAACAATAAAATGGAAGGTGCTGTGGACTGGATATGATCACTGTGGTCTACCTAGCCTCGGCCTAGCACCTAACTGAGGCCCCAGATAAGGGGTTGTGTTGTGGGAGTGGAATATCCTGAAAGTTGGGACTATTTGTTTCCTGAAGTAAAAGATGTCCATTTAGTTTCAGTTTTATGTTCTACAGTTAATGTCAGTATTTTTAATCAAAAGATTAAGTAATGAGGGGAAGTTTTATCAGTTAAGCAAATGAAATAAAGAGGAGAATAATACCTCAGATGATGGTTACTGAAGATTTAAAAGGATATTTGAGACCAGAGCAGCTTTGATTTTTTTTTTTTTTAAACCTTCAGGACCAGCTGCTTTCTGACATAAAATCAACCCTGTCAGTCATCTTTGCTTTGTTTCTTAGAGGCTGGGCCTTTATTCTTTCTACTGCCTGACTTTTAGGATAAGTGGGGTAAATGGGTAAGTTGGCAGGTACAGAAAGCTGGGTTCTCTAACCTGAAGTCCTTTAAGAGAGGCTAGTCTAGGACTGTGGATGTAGCTCAGTGGTAAAGTGCTTGCTTAGTGTGCATGAGGTTCTAAGGGGGCCAGATGCTGTCAGGGTTTGGAGTGGGAACTCACTGGAAGTTGGAACTCCCTGAATAGGAAGGTGTTCTGAAACCACTACCTTTCTTTAACACTGGCTAGCTTTGGAGGATTGTGTTTGTCTTATTATCTGAAGCTTCTGGCCTATCAGATATACCCAGTACTCTTATTAATTTTTAAGACAGGGTTTCACTATGTAGCCCTGGCTGGCCTGAAACTCACTATGTGTAAGCCAAGCTGGTCTTGAACTCAGAAAGAACCTCCTGACTTTATCTGTCCTGGGAAAAGACATTGCCACCATGTTGGTTAACTCTAACCATAACTGAGACATGTTGAACATTTTCAAATATTTTATGAAATGTTAATGAAAAACAGAAATGTAAACACAGAAAACACCACAAAACTCTTTTAAAAGCCCAGCTTTTCAATGATTTCAAATTCTTCTATAGCTCTTGTTTCCAAAACCTGCTCTAGACCAGTAGCTCTTGTCTTCTGTGAACTTCAGTACCACTCTTAAAGACCCTTCCCCACAGAAGCTGATTTTTTCATTGTCTTACAAACCCTTATAATTAGTACATTATAAATGAGTATGGTAGTATTCACCTATATTCCTAGCTTATCCCCTGGAGCCAAGGCAGGAGACTCTGTTGAGCCCAGGATGTCAAGACTAACCTGAGGAACTTAGCAAGAACCCCATCTCAAAAAAGAAATAACTAGTATATCCCAACACCCCCAAGTCTTCTAAGATTCAGGCCTGAAACAAATAATTGCTACCCAAATAAATGACTATCAGTGGACACATGCAACTAAGAATCCTGTTTCCTGGAAAGACTTTGTAACCCATAATATGGTGTCAGAGACAGTTAACATAATTTGGTTCTTACAAATGAGTTTCCAGGTAGTGTGCAAACTACTTTAATAATTTGCTAACATTTTATATTATTGTATAAGTATATATTGTTGCAAGCTCCCTACATATATTGGCTCATAATTCTCACAAAAGCCTCAGAAATAGATGCTTTTATTCCCATCTTGCAGATGGGGAAAATAAACTTTTTTTCTTGCAGGGTAAATAATTTGCTGTATTCCACAGCTAATTAGAGTAAACTGATTCCATAATTCCTGTTCTAGTTTTGTGGTTATAGCCTCATACACTGCTGACAGCAAAGCTGTGAGACGTTTTCTTCATCTTAAATGTGTCTAGGACAGTAGTTCTCAACCATCCTAATACTTTGACCCTTTAATATAGTACTTCATGGTGCTGGGCGGTGGTGCCACATGCCTTTAGTCCCAGCACTTGGGAGGCAGAGGCAGATGGATCTCTGTTAGTTCGAGACCAGCCTGGTCTACAAGAGCTAGTTTACAGCCTCCAAAGCCACAGAGAAACCCTGTCTTGAAAAACCAAAAAATACACACACACACACACACACACACACACACACACACGTTGAGAACTGCTGGTCTAGAGTCTCACAGCTGACTGACTGGGTTTATAACCAGGTCCCTCCAACTCCAGAACTTGAGCTCTTGTCATCCTATATCCTACAGGGTTTTACTATATAGCCCTGGCTGGCCTGGAACTCACTGTGTAGACCAGGCTGGCCCCCAACTCAGAAATCTCCTGTCTCTACCTCCAGAGTGCTGGGATTAAGGGTGAGCCTACCACATTGGGCACCTAGAGCCTCTCAATCAGCTGATGCCCTACCTGGACCTGGGTATGTGACTCCTCACATGTTATAAAACATTTTTGGCAATTTCAGAAATTAAGAAAAATTTTTTTCTTTTTCTTTTCTTTCTTTCTTTCTTTTTTTTTTTTTTTTTTTTTTTTTTTGTGTGTGTGTGTGTGTGTGTGTTTGGAGACAGGGTTTCTGTGTAGCTTTGGAGCCTATCCTGGCACTCACTCTGGAGACCAGGCTGGCCTCTAACTCACACAGATCAACCTGCCTCTGCCTCCCAAGTGCTAGAATTAAAGGCATGAGCCACCAATGCCCATAAAAATCTTCCCTACTTATAAACATTCCAACACCTGTCATGCAAATGCTAGCACATGATGGAATGAGAAGGAATGAAAACTTGGCTTTTATTGCTCCCAAAGCTCCAACAGCTGAGCTATCCTTGTGGGATCATTTTGTTTTGTTTTTTTAAAATATCACAACAGACTGGATGGTGTGATCCCAGCACTTGGGAGGCAAAGGCAGACAAATATCTGTGAGTTCAAGGCCAGCCTGGTCTACAGATCAAATTCCAGAACAGCCAGGGCAACACAGAGAAACCCTGTCTGGGGTGTGAGGGGGTGGGAGTGGGGACAGCACAACATAATAATGGTCTTTTTATATAAATGAAATTAATTATATATGCATATATATATAATTTTATAGTTCTCTAATAAAAAGCTGATCTCAGAAGTTCATAGGCCTGATAATTCAAAACATGAGATTAAAAAATTCTAACCATGCTGGGCGTTGGTGATGCATGCCTTTAATACCAGCACTCAGCAGGCAGAAGCAGGCGGATCTCTGTGAGTTCGAGGCCAGCCTGGTCTACAGAGTGAGTACCAGGATAGGCTCCAAGCTACACAGAGAAACCCTGTCTCCAAAAAACAAAACAAAACAAAACAAAAATCTAACCAGAGCCGGGCAGTGGTGATGCCTGCCTTTGATCCCAGCACTCGGAAGGCAGAGGCAGGCTGGTCTACAGAGCTATTTCCAGGACAGCTAGAGCTAGGGCTGTCACCCAGAGAAACCCTGTTTGGGGAAAAAAAGAAAAAAAGAAAAAAAATTCTAACCAGAATTAAGAATGCTTTCTGAAAGCAGGAACTGAAGCTCAGCCCTAGCACCTCTGCTTAATAAGTACAAAGCTCTGGGTTCATTACTCAACATTGTAAAGAAGAAGAAAAAGCTTCATTTGACAGAAGAATGCCCTCATGCAGAGAAATTTGCTTGGTAGTGTCTTGTGTTTGAGGAGAGGTATCCTCTCACAGCTTGGAGGGAGAATTGAGGGCCCAGCTAATTTGAAGGTGAGGGGTCTGGGGTCCATGAAGACATGCATACGCTACAAGACAGCTTTTTTCACAGAGGCCAGATCTCTTATAACCCACCTTCAACTTACCTGAGTGTAAGCAATCTTGATTCCTTCAGATCTAGACATGCTTGAATAGGGATAGGGCCAGGAAAAGGAACTGTTTTCCTCAATTAGTGCCAGATACTCAAATACTCTTTGAATTTCACCTTCCCTCCTTTCCTGGTAGTTTTCCGTACAGGCTGGGTGTGTCCATGACTCAGTTTGTGGTACGGATGTGGCCATCAGCTGGAGAGAGGAGGAGCAGAGTCTGGTGCTGAGTCATTACTGGTTCTTACAAGCTCACAGCATTATTCTTGGTAGACATCTAGGGAGATCTTGGCTTCTTATAGGTGGTGGGGAGGCAGTTCTGTGGATCACACAGTTCCACTGGAGCCCTCCAACCCCGGGAATGAGAAAAAGGCAGGCTTCAGTTTGTTAGACGAGGCACTGACTCTGGAGCATAGGACTTTCCACAAATGGAGTGTAAGACTAGCTACCCCCTCACCACCACAGAGCCAGAGATGATACCCTTTAATACTTTGTCTGCAAAAAATGGTTTTACATAGGAAAGAGCCTACAGTCTCTTTAGTTCTAGTTGTTTTGGGGATGGTTGAGTGAGATAGCTGGCAGTCTGTAAGGACAGACACATATAAATAAACACATCTAAGGAAAAAGTCGGTCTTCTTGGGAAAAGGACACGTGATCCAATGTTTCCTGGGTTCCCCCCCCAATATTTATAAGGTTGCTTAATAAACAATTTTTCACTTGTTTTGAAAGTCCCTTATTGGAAATAGTTATTCTGATGACAAACAGCAGTCACATGATCATTCTGAACTTGCACATTGGATAAAATATATTTCTGAGGTAATGGTTTTAATTCTGCAGTGTCTGGTGGCCCCTGATCTAGCAGCTAACCTAGGGATATACTTATTTTAGAATGATAAGAAATTATAGAAGAGAGAGGAATCTCAGTCATCTGAGGCACTGAGGTTAGAATTGTCCCTTCTATAAGGGAACCTTATTGAGAGGCCATGTAGCTTCACTACTTGGATGACTTTGCTGGTGGATGTCATCTTACCTCTCATGACCCCCTTGGTCTTCCAAATCTTTTGTTTGTTTCGTTGGTTGGTTTTTTTGTTTTGTTTTGTTTATTTATTTATTTATTTATTTATTTATTTATTGAGATAGGGTTACTCTGTGGCTTTGGAGGCTGTCCTGGAACTAGCTGTTGTAGACCAGGCTGGCCTCGAACTCAGAGATCCACCTGCCTCTGCCTCCCGAGTGCTGGGGTTAAAGGCGTGTGCCACCACCGCCTGGCTGGTCTTCCAAATCTTGATTGACATCCCATCCACAGTTTCACCACATAGCTGTTTTGTCAGGATC